ATTCCTCTCTCCCGGCTGCAGCCAGGGCTCCGGGCTCCCAGCACCAGGCCGCCGGGGGCTCCGGGGATCTCGCCAGGAGCCTGGAGCCAGAGTCACCGCAGCCGCTGCGAGTCACTTCCTGCTGCCGGGCCTGAGCCCAGCGATCGCTCCCCCACAGAGCCGCCTCCCAGCTGCTCCTGGGTCCTAGCGATCAACCCACAGATCTGCAGCATCTCTGTGTCCAGCTCCTGTTCCACTCACAGGTTCTAAGAAGGGCCCATCACGAGGATCTAGCCCAGGGATTCTCACGACCAAATTTGGTGGCCTCAGAGTCTGGCCAGCAACTATCCCTGGTGGCCGCTCTGACACTTTCCCCTGTAATCCTAACTAACTTTACGAGAAACCAAAAATATGCACAGAGGTAAGCTGGGGAAACGGTCTTACTATTGTGGGGAACTCTTCGGGCTTATACACCACCCTGATAGAACTGAATAGCAAAAGGAGCTGAGTCCTTGCTCCCACTCCCTTTACCTGGAGACCTGCCTGACTTCAAGGACTCCCCTTCCACTCTGGTGTCTGAAACCGGGACAAGGCTGGCCCCAAGATTCCTGCAGGGTCTGCATCCCCAATTTTGTTGCGATCACTCAGGACAGAGGCTAGGGTGTTGTATCCCCACTCTGGGGTGTTCTCTTCACTCCGGACGCATCCCTGATGTCGCCATTCAGAAATGCATTGAGTTCAGAACAAATATGATTTATTAAGCAGCAAGTAATAAAAAAAAATAAGTAAAAAAATGGGAAAGGGGAATGGAAAACATGATGTCATCCCACGCTGCCCAGGGTCCCCCCCTCGCTCTCCCCAGTTGCTCACCACCCCCAGCTCCAGACTGCTCCAGACCCAGCCTCCCTCTGCATCAGTGCTTCTGCTGCTCTGCCTCCAACCCAGCTCTGGCTGCTCCTCTCCCCTTAGCTCTGCCCTTCTCTGGTAGACAGCTCCAGCTCACACAGAGAACTGGCACCTGACTCCCTCATTGGCCTGCCTGCCCTGTCAACGAGGTTGACCTAGTGCCTTGGCCTCTCTCCATTCGCCCTGGGGACTAGTCTGAGGCTTTTCATTTCTCATTGGCACTTCCTGTGTTTTGGTACTGGGAGAAGCCAACCAACCCCGCCCCCCCTCTAAGTTTCAGTAAGGGGCCAACAGTCATAGGGTCAGGCAACTTCATGGTGTGTGTGAGCTCCAAAGCATCCTTCAGGTGAATTATAAATTTCTTTGTTTACCCCTTTCTTCCTGTTGGTGATGGACGGCCAGATAAGAGTTTTCTAATACCCATAGTTGGTCCTTTGTCATCTCTGAGGAGTTTGAGTGGGACAATCCCCAGAACTATGACATATTTCAGTAACAAAAACTTTGACATATGTCTGGGTCTTTATGGACAGATCCTTGTCTTTGAGCCTGCTGAGGGGTTTTGCCATACCAGCAAATGTCCGGGGGTGTTTGAAGAGCACAAGGGCTGAAGCTCAGGAACATCCCTGATTAGTCACCTTCCCAACTAGCCAATTGTCCTGCATCCATAGCTGATTGATTGCTGCGAGATCCCACCCTTGCAGGCCCAGACTCCCAGTCCTGGGGGAGTGTCCCGCAGGTCGGCGCTGACTGACAGCTGTTGCCAGCACTCTGCCACTGTGACAGCTGCCAACACTGCCCTCACCTCATGAGTATCCCACCGCACCCCCTCCAGCACCTCTAACTCTACAACCCCCCGTCAGTTCACACCTCCCATCAGATCCCACCCCCCATCAGTGTCCTCTTTTGGGGCACCTGGAATATGGTCAGACTAGCAACAAACATACATTAAAATCTCACCATTCTACATGCACTGGTGTCACAAGCATTTCAATGGCACAATATTCAGCAGATCATGAGATTTCCAATGATCCCTCACCAGGCACACTTTGCACACAAAATATCATAACCCTACACAAGTGGTGAACATGGGGTGCAGAGGTTATCACAAGAGGGATCCGTGTGGGGCGAGTGGGGCTAAGAAACTCTCTGTCATCCCAACGAAGGACACGGCGGGACATGGGGAGGGCGTGACCGTCTGGCTATCGAGGACCGTGAAGGCAGGCAGGAAGAGGAGCCCCTCTGCAGGCTTGGCCCAGGTGCACTCGAGCTGCTGGGGAGAGGAACCCCTTCCTCAGCCCAGCTCAGGACCACAGCAGCTGCCACGGCTGGGGAGAGGTGCCTCTCACCCAGTCCCAAGCTGCTGTGATGAGAGAGGGCTGGGGGGTGTCCTCTCCCCAATGCAATCTGCACCCCAAAGCCCTCACCCGCAGCCCCACCCCACAGCCTGCACACCTAGCCAGAGCCCTCACCGCTCCGCACCCCATCCCTCTGTCCCAGCCCTGAGCCCCCTCCCACACTCTCTTGGCCCCACCCCCACCCCACCACATGAATTAAGTGCTGTGCACCAGTATGGAGATGATGTGTCACATACCGGTGCATAGAACCAAATTCATTCCACACATGGATGTAAAAAATGAGAGAACACTGGTCAGAACACATAAGAAGCTCAGAGTGAGTTTACACTAGGAAGGAATGTGAGGTGTGCAATAAGACGAGAGCTCTAATTAAACTTTTCCCACTTTCAAAATATTTATAGTGTCTTTCTCACATGTGGGTTTTCTCATGTTGAGTGAGTTTTGAGCTACAGTTACAATTTTTCTCACAGTCCAATCATTTAAAAGGTCTCTCTCCTGTGTGGATTCTCTGTCTAATAAATTGTGAGCTTAGTATGAAACCTTTCCCACAGTCCAAGAACTTATGAGGTCCCTCTCCTGTGTGAAGTGTCTGATGTGTAAGAAGTGCTGATCTCTCTGTGAAACCTTTCCCACAGTCCAAACACTTATGGGGTCTCTCTCGTGTGTTTATTTTCTGATGCCTATTAAGGGCAGTAAACGATCTAAACTCCTACATGCCACAGGGGGCTTCAACAGTGGTCCCCTTAACTCATCCACCAATATTGTTAATCTACCCAACCACACACTTAACCCGGCAGAAGAGTCTGTCCTATCTTGGGGACTCTCTTTCTGCCCCACCACCCGCCTGCACATGATACAATTCTGTGGTGATCTGGAAGCCTGCTTTTGTCGTCTCCGACTCAAGGAATATTTTCAACACACCATTGAACAGCGCACTGACCCAAAGGAACCCTCCTATCAACACTACAAGAAGAAGAATTCTGCGTGGACTCCTTCTGACGGTCAAAATGACAGAGTGGACTTCTACACAGAGTGCTTCTGCAGAGGTGCACAGGCTCAGATTGTGAACAAACAGCATCACTTGCCCCATAACCTCAGCTGCACAGAACGCAACGCCTTCCACGGCCTCAGAAACAAGCCTGACATTCTAATCAAAGGGGCTGACAAAGGAGGTGCTGTAGTCATCATGAACAGGTCGGATTATGAACAGGAGGCTGCCAGGCAACTCTCCAACACCACATTCTAGAGGCCACTATCCTCAGATCCCACTGAGACGTACCAAAAGAAACTACACCAACTGCTCAAGAAACTCCCTGCTATAGCACGGGAGCAAATCTACGCAGACACACCCCTAGAGCCCCGACCAAGGTTATTCTATCTGCTACCCAAGATCCATAAACCTGGAAATCCTGGACGCCCCATCATCTCAGGCATTGGCACTCTTACAGCAGGATTATCTGGCTACGTGGACTCTCTTCTCAGACCCTACGCTACCAGCACTCCTAGCTATCTTCGAGACACCACTGACTTCCTGAGGAAACCACAATGCATTGGTGATCTTCCTGAA